AATATAAAACCCTTCACGAGAGCCGGTAATAGAAAACATATTAATGATAAATGATTTATTTTCGAAAACTTTATTATTCAAGGTTATAATGAACGAACAATTTTGGTACGTACGCTGAATGTACTCAGAGTTGCTTGCAGAACAAAAATTCAATGTGTCATTTTTATTTTAGCGTGTGCAAAGTACTTTTTGCACGATTGGAGAGTGTGAAATAGTATATTGTGCAACAAGTGTTGAAAATAGCACTTTTCACACTCGTGGGGAAGTTTCGTGACACGAGCCGCAGGCGAGTGGCAGAAACCGCACGAGTTTGAAAAGTGCTTTTCACACGCGTTATACCCTATACTTTTTCTACGACTGCGAAATAACTATAATCATATTGAGATTTAAAATTATTATTTAAGGTTATAATCAACAAACTATTTTGGTACGTTTGTTGAATGCACTCAGAGTTACTTGCAAAACAGAAATTCAATATGTCATTTTTATTTTAGCGTGTGAAAAGTAACTTTTCGTACGCAAAAGCGTGTGAAAATTTACTTTTCGCACGCTGTGCGGTATAATTGATTTTCTAGGCAAGTTAGTAGTACGTTTCTAATAGGTTTCAAAAGTAGTCATAGAAAAAATATTTCACGGTTATTTATTAATTTCTCTGAAAATGTAATTTTGCGCAACCTGTTCAATAACGCGACTTTTTGAAGTATGTGAAGCAAGCAGAAAATTGAGAATTGCAGCCCGGTGACTGTCACGCATGCGCATTTTACAGCCGGGTAAACAAGAACATTTCCGCCCATTTAGCCGGACGGGAATGCTGTCAATTTGAATTTGACAGTTTGACAGGGTATTGATTTTCCGTCAATTTCCATAGTATCTTTTCATTTTTTTTTTTTGAATTTAATATAAATGAAATTTATCAAAAATGTTTCCAAGAAGGTTGTTCAAAAAGTACTGTGTGCACCATAGACGGAACGCGATTTCTACTCGTGCGATATCTGCCCTCACTTCGCTCGGGCCGATAACTTCACACTCGTCGAAATTGTCTTCTTTCCGCCCTTGATACACAATGTACTATTTTGCGAAAAATAAACAAAATTCATCCTTTATACAAATTTTAAATTATTTTTTCTACTACCGTGCGTAAAGTACTCACTTTACGCACTATTCAAAAAACGTAAAATTTCACTTTACGCACTAGTGCGTAAAGTATTTGTCTAATATTTTTTTGTGTACACATATTTTATTGGTAGTGGAAAAAAAAATTGTATGCAATACGTGTGTCCCTCCGGCTCGGGCGTCAAATTTCATATTCGTGAAAAAAGGTTTACTTTACACACTTGTTGCATAAATAGCTATTTCGGCGAAGTCCGGATTTTGTCCGGATTTCTGGACTCCTTTGTCCTGAATTCCAGAAAACCTTAATGGAAACCCTACGTTCATGTATAGTTTTTCTCTTGAAATGGACCCAAACATCGCCTGTTTAAATATTGACATTCAATTATTAGGAAACACCTTGTATAAGGTGTCGCCCATTGAAAAAATTCGGATTATGGTTATTATCTCGAAATTGGGGACAAATAAAGAAAAACTGATAACGTCACTGGATTCTGCTCAAAACAGTGCTTCTAGAGGGGGTTCAATTTTTTGTATCTCGCTCAGAAATTGGCATTTCCTAATAAAAGTGTCCAAATTAGACCATCCTGTATATACAGGGTGTTTTTTTGAAGAGCACGATGCCCCGATTCCAAAAATATATAGTTTGTCTATATTTGATTGGAGAGTTTCTCATATATTCAGCTCCAAAAATTGTAAAAATACTATCCTACTACTGATTTTGTGAACCATTTGGCGCCGGAACCATGGGGGCAATGGGGGCAGAGCCCCCATAGTGATTTTGGCATTGTATGTAGTGAGTTTAGTGAGTAGGTACAAAAATATTGAGTTTTTAACTACATATTTATTTTCATATCAAACTTGTGTGTTTTATGTTTTTGTTGTTTTTGCTATACCCACTGTGAATATTTTTTTGTTGTCTTTGGCCTTAATACAAAAAGCTTAGATGACAGATACCCATTACCCAACATAACGGATCTTTTGAACAAGCTAGGATGCTGCTAGTATTTCATCATCTTAGATTTAGCTAGCGGCTTCCGCCAGATCTAGATGCATGGAAACGACATTGAAAAAACCGAATATTCAGCCCAGAAAACGGGCATTTTGAATTCTTGCGCATGCCCTTTGGTTTGAAAAATGCGCCGGATACATTCCAAAGAGTTATGGATGATATTTTATATCCCAATATATTGAGCAACTTTAACACCGAGAGATGGAACATCCCATTAATAATAGTTATTCATTATACAAGAAAAAAAATACAAATAGTGATAATCTTCAAACATGAAATTGTATTTAGGACAATCTATCAGATACACCGATTTCCAACGGTTCCATTTTGATTATTTTCGGTTCAGGTACCCAAACTATCTATAGATAATTGAATATAGAGGGGCCCGATTCGATCCGGTATGCACGGATAATCCGATAGTTGTCGGCTTGAATTTGTAATTACAAGCTTCAAAGAAGAAATAATGATGATTGGGGCACTTCGATTATCATTCTTCCGGTTTTGCAGATTTAAAATGGTCCCTTTGTCCGACGACAAATGTAGCAAAGGGTATTACGCAAAACTTCCATATAATCGTCTTATAACTTTCTTAAGCTTAAGTTTTCCCTTTATGTTATTAGCTTCATTATTTTGTCCCAAAAACAAATTAGAAATTAAACTCTCATTTTGCTATTTGTGGCATTTCAGCTGCTGCATATGGAAAACGGATTTGAGGTTGGGCTCTTTTTATTTTCGACCACAAACTGACCACTTGACTATTACTTATGGATTGGATCGATTAAACCGAAGCCGTTTAAATTAATTTGTGATGTTTTTTTTTTTTTTGCCCCCTCGTTGTGTGTGTTGTACAACGAGACCACAAGTTCATTCATTATTTTGTTGCCGCGTCTCTGGGTTTTGGTTTTAGCGCGGTTTTTTAAATTAAGTCTTTGTTGTAAATGTTTTTGATTTGGACAGTATATACCTACATACATATTATGTTAGTTCGATTGTACATTGAATATAGCGATATAACAACAAAAAAAAGCACAATTTTGTTAAAAATTGCGGTTTCGCAAAGATAGTATGAACATAAAGCTCGATTGCTCACGGTGCTCGGCGAAGCGGCAAATGGTAAATCTTAGGTTACCAACTCCGAAGTCGTCGTAACGGATCCTGGTAGGCCCCGGCCGATCGAATTTCCTCCCGGTTGCGAAGAATTATCATTTACACGCCAACGATTCGTTAAAATTCGTTTTATTTTTACACACCGACGACGACGTGCGCAAATAGACACGGAAGGTATCCTTGTTTGTTGTTCTTGTTTTCCACAAATTTTCTAACTTAAGAGTAGTTGAAGAGAAGTTTTTCGAAAACTCGATAATTTTTACACAGACTACTTTATATCGATCAACATTTCGTATCTCTATTGATTTCATTATGAGAGAAAAAGACAGCAAGTGCGATGGACAACGAAGTTTTAAAATTAGAACAATCTGTTGTATTGACGGTCCAACTTCACAAATTCTCTGTTTTTCAATTTTTATCTATTCCCGGCTCTTGAGTTTCAGTTCTCTTATAAATTTCCCTAAATGGAGAAGATTCAAGTGTGTGGATTAGAAATAAAATACAGGGTAGCCTTAACTGACACATTTTGCAGGTAAATATCTCGGAAACGAGAAAAGATAACGAGATGCGGTTTGTATTGGGAGAATTAAGTATTTCCAAACCCAAAAATGTACTGAAATTTAGTTTATTTACAATCATACATGTAATGTTGACTTTACTGACTTTTAAAAAGTTCGAAAATGTCACTTTTTTGACTTTTACTTTCGGCCCACGGGTCGAAAGTTTACTTTCCTCCCGTGGGCCAAAAGTAAATGAAATTGTTAATTATTGTATTTTTTTAGTTTTAATTCAAATAAAAATTTCAAAATTCGAATGAATGTAAATAAAATAGTATACATACCTCGGTGAACTCGGTCTAACTAAAATCTCTCGACAGTAATGAAACACTTTCCACCTCGGTATGTAATATACAATTTACAAACATTAAAACACCATTGGAAGCTTCTGAAAAATACTTCAAACAATCAGAGGGACTTCAAACTTTCAGGATTTATTGTCGAAATAAAGAAAATTCAAGAGAAGTAGACCCTCACCTTATTGGTGGGATCAAGAAATAGAGAAAGACATAGCAGATAAAAGGAAGAAATACCAACAGTATCTGAGTTCAAATAAGAGACGAGACGAGACAAAGAAATATATAAAGAAGCACAAGCAAGAGTACGGAATAAAATAGTAGGTACACAAAAAGAACGAATCATGGAAAAGAAACTGTGCGCATATTAATACTTATCTGGGGGATAAAAGAAACACAGATAGTTGGAGATTACTGAAAAATATGAGAAAAGCACAAAACCAAGGATATTATCGAATGTAACCACTAAGCACAAGAGGTTTCAGGATTACCGGATAATACTTTAACCTGTCACGAAACGCGTTATGCAGCAACATCACGACTCCGAAGGAGGAGTGGTGTCAGGTAAAAGTGTAAGGTAATCCTGAAACATCGAGTGGTATTCGAAAGGTTATATAACGAACTAAACTTTAATACTTTGAAATTAAAAAAAAACTTCTATAATAGAATTTGCTATAAATGCCACCAAGCGCGATAATCCCAAAAGGCTTATCACTTGATAAGTCTCTCGTGTCATATGGGAATAATGTACGCAGTGAGTTGTATAATCAATACAATAACACCCCAGCAATAGGAAGAATACGGCTCCCTTATACATATAAAGAAAATTCAAGAGCCTGGAATAGACAAAAATTGAGAAGAAAAAATCGAGAATTTTTGCAGTTGAATTCCACCCTTTTATATCATTGAAACTCTTACCTTGCGGTTCTTGTTTGTAAGATCCTTGCGATCCATTACTGCTATTCGGCGACGTCCTTTTGCTTTTAAACGAACCGAGATGTCCGAATGCACTGTCCAGACCGAAAGACCGTCTCATTGGCAAAGCATTGATTGTCGGATAAGAGTGTCCATGGCCTACAACCAAAAAAAAAATTCATTATAAAGTCATAGAGGGGCAAAATTCTACAAATAATTCAGTAATAGTTTGGGGCCGAGTAGTCGGAAATGGCCGAAACCGGAAATGATTGCACGATGGGCTTCCGTTGTCCACTAAGAGCCACTACGCAAAGTGGTGAGGGGGGCAAAACCAATATTGCACTATTTATTAGCAATAATTCCAGAGGACAAGGGACAATTTCCTCCGCTAAAGAAGCTGGTGAGAATTTTTATGTTTGCAACTGATAAAGTTATTTCCGCTCTAAAGTCAAAAAAGAGTTAACATTTTTGGTTCCCACGGACATTTTTATTTTAAATCTTATTTGTTTTCAACTTATCAGGAGAGATTAATTAACATCTGCTCTGGTTAACGTTAACATTAAACAACAAAAACATTTATTTGAAATAAAGTTTATTCGATAGGATTTCTGGCCGTCAAACCGAAACATCAATTGTGAGTTTGGAAAACAATCCCGAAATAATAAATAAATCGGAATCGTGCTGCGCTAATTACACGCATCAAATATTAAACTAAAATAAACAGTTTTATAGTAATAATAACTTATTGGAAAATTGTGTATAATTGAGGTAGGGTAAAGGGCCGAATTGGGCACTTTAAAAGTAAATAAAATCCTTGCTTGAAACGCGTCAGATGATTACGTATAAGGGATACGAACATCTTCCAATCAAATTTGAGAAGACTTTATTGTCAAAACAAAGGCGGATACAGGCCTTTTGAAACGGGGGTTAGTTAGGGTTAGTTTTGGCAGCGCATTGTGCAAAATACGGTTTTTCGAAAGAATGGCCCATAAAAACATGGGAATGGGGGAACTATATTCAGGAGAATAAGGTGATTTAAAAATAGGTAGGTACAGGGTGATTTTTTATACGACGTTTCTCCCAGGTAATAACTTCGGAACGCGTCATCCAATATAATTGAAATTTGGAGAATTTGGGTAAAATTTTGTGCCGCTTATACCTTTGTCATCCAATTTCACTAGTTTCGCTTCAATTTCGGTCAAGTGACGTCATCTTTCAAATCTTAAATGTAACTCATGGTATATTATGGCATTTTTCGTTAGAAAATTAAATAACAAAATCGGCAATGCCATATTTGTTAAGGCTTTGTTAAAGAAAATGATAAAAAATTATACAGTGGAACATACGATGATGCGTTCCGAAGTTATCATTTGGGAAAAACCTCGTGGGTCACCCTGTATATTGACACCCCACCTACAGCCTTTACCTTCACAGGTAAAAGAAAGATGTGTAAATACAAAAGTTGTACCTACAGTTTCGGCTGAATGTTTAGAAATCGTGATCAGAAACAAAATTTGAATGTCAAAAATGTGAAATTTTGCATCCTTCCAGCTTTTTTCAAATTTGATGCTCTATATTTCATTCAATATTCTTGAAGAGCACATTGTCCCGATTCCAAAAATATATAATTTGTCTATATTTGATTAAACGGTCTCTCATATATTCGGCTCCAAAAATTGTAAAAATACTATCCTACTACTGATTTTACCTACAGGTGAAAGCTGCAGGTAAAATTTAATTAAAGTACCTATCTACTTGGTTTCTCTGACAGTATTTTTTAAATTTTTAGAACCAAATATGTTGGATACGGTTCAACCAAATATAGACAAACAATATAGTTTTGGAATCGGGAAATTGTGCTCTTCAAGAATATAGAACCAAATACATAGGGCACCCCATTTGAATAAAGCTGCAAGCATGCAACATTTCACATTTCTGACATTCAATTTTTGTTTTTGACCATGGATTCTAAAAATTTAGCCAATACTGTACAACTTTTGTATTTACACCTTTCATCTATTTGTAAAGATGAAGGTTATAGGTGGGGTGTCAATATATAAAAAAATACCCTGTATATACTTAAACAATACCTTATTACATAAAGTCAGAATTTGTAAGAAAATTTACTTTTTGTCAATTTGCCTTTCAATAGGAATTAGTAATGTTGCTTTATTAAACTACTAACATAATGTGACAAGTTATTCAAGTACAAATGAGTGAATTGTTGCGGAACTTATGGGTGGACCTCTGCGGGACGAGCGCAGCGAGTTCTGCAGCCATCTATTCATCAGTATGTTGTTTAATTACGATACTGAACTAACTCACTCAAATATGCATTTAGTTTAAAAAAATAACACGTATCAGGTTAATGTCTTACTTGAACAGTTCAACAGTATATTGGTGATTAGATGGCTGCGGAACTGCGGAACACGCTTATTACTATGGGGGCTTCAGAAATTAACGTAAGTAGAATTAATTAGACAGACAGGACTAAGCTACTAGACACATAGACTTAAATTGGACAAGTTGACAGTTACCCATTTCATTGCAGGCAGCGTTGTTCCTGTTAGGATAACTGTACTGTATTGATATCAGTACAATTACCATCTTAGCAGTACATCAGTACAATAGAAATTAATTTCAGCACAATTATATATTGTTGACACAAAATTTTTAGGAATCTTGTTCCGTATGTGATTACTTTTTCAGCCAACCAATATGTATGGAATGAACACGACCAACCATAACACGATGACAAACGGAACATACCATTGGAAAACGATATGTCAATTGTGGCGTATGTAGTGAGGAAAACCACCTATTTAAAATATTATTTCTTCAAATCATAACTTTTTAAAAAAAATATTTACTGAATAAAATTAAATGTTGCAACCATGTATGCGCGGTACAAGTTTATAGGAACGAGCGCGCCACAGAAAAATGAAGGTACCGAAAACCGAAGAGGATAGAAGAGAAGAGACGATTAGGCATTAGAAAAACGAAAGAAGAAGCTGGCGCTGTTCCTTGAGACGCGTGTCTGAAATTATTCATTATTCAATTTTCATTTCTATTTTGCATTAAAATTGATTGTTCAATCCAATTTGTAATTAGTGTGTGTAAGGAGCGTACAAGTTAGTGGATCAATTATTATTTTGTTTTTGAGAGTTCAGTTTATGCAAGTTCCTATTATTTTGTTCATTTTTATGGATTTTTTGTTTGCTTATAACATTTTTATAACATGTGCAATGTTCATGTATTTAACCAAAATCGTTTAATACTGTAAACAACACAGATAAAGAGTAAATAAAAACCTAAGAAATTATGTGCTGTCTTTTGTGCTGAGATTTCGATTTTGTGTATTCAGAGCGTGTATTAGGGCCTTGTTGAATTTACTAACATTTTCCTACCCTGACGAGAGAATATTCTAACAAACTGAAATAATCAATCTAGAGATATTGGCTCAAAAACAACTATAGCCGTAAGTTTACGTAACCAGGAACCTCGGTACCTGCCACAGATGGGCTAACTAACCAAAACTCTTCAGTATTGAATATATAGGCAGTGTTGATTGAATGTAGTGTGTGTAATTGAAATTTTAGCACAAGAACAGGGGCGGTACATAATTTAAACTTTTATTGACATAAATTATTGAATTAATGACTCACAATTATTATTAAAATGACACAGTATGTTTCGATTTTTGAAGAATGTTAGCCGAGGGTTTCTCTACCGTGTTCTTTCCCCTCGTAAGTTCCAGGTCGAGAACGGTACGTTTCTCTTTGATAATAAAGGAGACGTTTCACAAATTTTTCGTTTCTTCTACATATCACAACTTCCCTTAAATTTCCCAAATATTTGCTATGTCGGGCGCATGTCCAGTAAGTAAAATTGAGTAAGTTTCCACAACGTAGGTCCTATTTGTTTTTCATTTCATTTTTCAGAAGATTTGTTGTTTAAAAGGTAATAAAAATTCTCATCGTTCAATCTTACTGAGCGAACCCTGGTATGTTATACTACAGTAGTATGTGAATTGAGTGTGTTATAATATGTCCTTCTCAGTGAAAATTTTGAGTGTCTGCCATTTGTATTTTCGGTTAACCGGTCGGTAATTGGCCGTAGCATATCGGTTCAGGAAAATCCGTTTAGAAGAAACGAACCAACACTGCTTTTCCGGTAAGCATCTCGTCATTTCTGTTAGGTTACAGAGAGGACGGATAAATTACTAAAAGTTAACTTCTGGAATGTCTATGAAATGTGACGTCATTCCAGAAGTTAACTTTCAGTTATTTGTCAAATTAGTTTTAGAGTTGCTGCGCAAACTCATAAAAACGAAAGATACCTGAAAATATTGCCGGTTGCTTTTGTCGACTGTTAATCTCAGGAGTCATGTTCCGTATGTAACCGCTTTTTCAGCTTACAGGTACAAACGTAACGGCTAAATGTAACCAAAGAATAAAGATACAAACGGAATACACCCTATATGTGACAGCATGTTTTATTTCAAGTTTTCCGCGTCAGTACAATTGGCCCTTTGAAAACATTACAACTGTATGACCGGTTTCAGTACTTTAGAAATTTTTCTAGGGACAACACTGACTGCAGGATCGCCACGCTGGATGATTAATCGTCCCTGTAGATCCCTGCATGCATTGGCGTATCTAGGATTTTGGTTTGGGGGGGGGGGGGGGGCTCTGTTAACAAAAAGTGTTGACCAAAAAAAAAAAAAGCTGTGCACAATAGTACATTTTCACGTGCCTCTCATTGACTAAAGCATTCATGCGTAAGTTGCCACATTAGAAATGACGAAATATTTTAGGATCATGTTATTAGGTAGCCAGGTTTTTTATCAGCCATATTTTGGAATGGTTCATTAATGAGAACTTCGGCATCCTCGCATGTTTCGGAAAGTGACGTTCCTTTCCCATCCGGCGTTTTTGCAGCAGTTTGAAAATTCGTTTTTCAAATCATTCTATTTTCAAAAATAAAAGTTTTTTTTTGGAAAAAAGTATACAGATATTATCAGAATAACTAACAGAATAGTTTAAAAATGTGAAAGTTGCCTATTTTTGTCAGGAATTCACCTGTAATATACTCAAATGTTACGCGCCTATTTTTTTTTTGGTAACGAGGAGAAATTTTGTTCACGGAGCACCTACTCT